TATATATATATATATATATATATATATATATATATTCCTTTTATATTATATTTATTTATATTTATATTATATTCCTTTAAACATATATATGATATATACATGATATATGTATATATCATATATATATGTGTATATATATATGATCATGACCTATATACATTTATTCCCAACTGTTTTTCTTCATAAAACAAAATATGGTAAGCATTTTCCCCATGTCATTGAAAACTTCCTGTGACCAATCTTTTTAATAGTTACATAATATTTCATCTTTTGGGACCATGAAGGTCATTTTTCAGTTCCAGGTTGAGTTGTTCTAGCCCCTGTGCCCCAGGCCTGAGGAAAGAAAGAGCCTTGTTTCTGGTGCTCGCTTGGCCGGGGAACAGGCTGGGATCGGGTCCCAGCAGAGCTGAGGAGAGAGCTCTGGTGACAGGCGGCCGGAAGGCAGCTGGCCCTTGTCTCTCTGCAGGACATGTGCTGAGTGTAGACGGAGGATGGGGAGTGGAAAAGTTTGCCCCTGAGAGGCTGCGCAGAGTGGGGAGAAGGGCATGCTCATTGCCAGGGACCAAAATAGGATTCTGGAGGAGAGTCAGATTCCAGCAAGAGGCTTCTCTTGCCCAGAAAGGATTATTTTAAGTGCTCAGGTATTTATTTCAGCCACTGACACATCTACAGTTTCTGTGTTAACTGAGCTGGGTCAGCCTGAGAAACCAGCTTTCTTCCCAAAGTGCTTTCTCCACCTTACATTCCCCCATGGTCAGCTACACGGTGAGGCCAAGCCCTTTGAGTGAGACAGAGATTGTCACCCTTTACTGTGCTTCCGTGATGTCTGTGGACCCACCTGGCTTCCTAGCAGAAGTGAGAGGGCAACATTGATGGAGGAAGGGAGAGGGAAAGAGGGAGAGGAGGGAGAGGAGGGGGGGTTGGTAGGGGACCCTCTCTGGTGTTGTGTTGGTGCCGACATTGGCTATCAGCAGAAAACTCACCAGCCTTTTGAGCCTCATCTTTCACAAATGTAAAATAGGAAAAATACTCCTTATTACCTGGGTACAGTACCTAGCCCACGGTAAGCTCTCTGTCACATAATGTTGATGTTCTATTACCTCCTCTCTTCCCCACCCCTCGTTTTAAACTCCATGACTGCAGTAAGGGAATGTTTAGTAATAATAACAATGTTAGCAGTCATTGAGTATTTGCTATTCATTAAGTATTAAGGCTCTACTATGTGCTGGGCACTTTTTTAAGCACTGGGAATACAGGAGAGGAAGCCCTCGTGGAGTATATATGTTCAGTAGAAGGAGGCAGAGGGTAAACAAACAATATACGCAAATAAATAGACAATAAATGCCCAACATTTCAAGTGGAGACCTGAACCCTGAAGGAAAATGTAGCTGGGCAAGGAAAGGACAGGGCATTGAGTGCTCCATACAGAGCATGCATGCCAGCCAGCCATTATTTGAACCTTAAATACCAAAAAATTATTGTTTAATAAAACACGTTTGGTCGTGATGAAGAAACCTCTGAGCAGCAGGATGGGTGACAATTCTCTCATATGCAGGTGAGAACTGGAAAGTGGGGTGGGAAGTAGAGTTTCCAGGAACCAGGACTCCTGGCTCCCCTTCTTCTGCCCTGTCCCAAGCTTTGTCAGCCGTGGGGAGGGAGGATGGGTGTTGGGCAAGGAGTTCCCATAACCCCAGGCACAGGCTCAGCATATTAACTCAATCCCTTTGGGACTGATCTGTCACGTTAATTAGTGCAGGGGACACTACCCGTTCTAAGACATCACATCAGCCTTATTGGCTTATCATTTTCCCTGGTCAGGCTAGAGGTTCAGGAGCAGAAAGGCCTTGGACAAACCAGAGCTTTCCCCTGGTTCTGGTGAGTAGAGGCCTTAGGGGAAAGCAGAAGCATGGGTGTTTGGAGATACGGTTGTCCCAACCCAGAAGGAGATTCTTGTCCAAGCCTTGCTTCTACTTGTGGATGAATATGGAGCCTTCCGAATAGTGTTCTCTACTCTGGGCACAAGGTTTGGTGCCTTGGTTACGCAGAGAAAACAGTTTATTTGTGTTGCATGGGGGAGCTGGGACAAGGTTGTGCTGTCTCTGTGGGGGGGTACGTGTGCATGCACACATGCGCACATACGCACACACGCATAAACTTAAAGAACAAGGGTCATGTTCTATGGCCCTATTCTTTTGCTTGCTGGTCTCCACCTGCTGTGGAGTCCATGGGGTTCAGTTCTTGTGTCACTTGTGTCACCCCAGGGCTTGGGCAGGCCAAGGAAGGTGTGATTTGGGGGGGAGCTCCCCAGTGAGGCTGTTTCCTTTTTGGCTGCCTCGATCTTCATGTGAGAACTCTTGCCCTGAGCCCCAAGGCTGCAACATTCCTGGCCTTGGGACCACCTACCTACAAAGCTCCACTTGGTGGGGGACCCTTAGATTCTCTCCTGTGGGTAGGGAATGCCAAACCTGAGAAGGGTCCTCAAGTCTCAGATGTCAGTGCTGGAAGGCCTTTGAGATCATCCAAATGTTACTAGAATGTTGGCTCTCTGAGGGCAGGGTCTTCATTTTGTTCACTAGTATAACTCCAGGACCCAGAGCGGGGTCTAGCACATAGTACACACTCAGTAAATATTTGCTGAATGATTGAATGACTGTATTCTAACCTCCACTCTACCTGTACAGGAGAAAACTGAGCCTAGAAGATGGGGTAACAGAGCTAGGACTGGAACTCCAAATTCCCTTGTCCTTTTTTTGCTGTGTCCCCTCTCCCTCATGCTCAGAAACCCAGTTTTCTCCAGGCCTCCAGGATTAGGTCAGATGAGATCTAAAACTCTCCAGCCTGTACCTAGCACACAGAAGATGCTACATTCATGCAAATCCCTCATCTTTTCTTCGTTTTGCTCTTGGTACTCTTTCCAAGTTTTTCTTTGAGGCAATGTTCTGTACCAGACTTTGCTGCTACCTCACATCTCTTTCCTAGCAGTAACACCTATTTGCTATTCACTTTGCTATGTGTTAGGAGGAAGACAAAAGAATTAAAGTCAAAGATGACAATAGCCTTGTTTTAAGAGGCTAATCCTTCCAAGGGTATTAATGAAATCAGTGGATCCCTGAGGGTAGGGTTTCACAGAGGGAATGTTCTAGGCTCTCAGGACGTAAGGGAGAGTCTTCCCTGGACCCCACTCACAAGGCTTCTTGTCTCCCTGTCCCTCAGTGGCGGATGAAATGTTGCAAGTGTGACTCCAGGTTGCCTCATAATTACAACGGCCACCGAGTGGAGAATGTGGTTTCATCCTCAGGCCCCATGCGCTGGTGGCAGTCCCAGAATGGTAAGCGCCAGCCGCCTGTAAGGGCATAAACTGGTGGAGGCTCCCACAGCATGGGGGTGGCTGGAAGTTTCCTGGGAACCCTTGGGGTTTTCTAGGCATTTCTTATGGAGGTGGGACATGTGTGGTTAACAGGCAGTACCTACCGCCTCTGTATTTGAGAACTTTTGAATGCTGTAGCTAGAAGAATTTACTGGAAGTCAAGGAATGGGTAAAAGGAGCAAGAGAGAAATGCTTTTATTTCACCCCATTAGTTACAATGAGCTTGTTGAAGGAATGGGGCTTGTAGAACAGACAAGTTGAAATCTCTTAGTGTGTTAGGGTCATCAAGAGATGATGGGAAGGAAACTTGGCCAAGGACAGATAGGATCTTGAGTAGGAAATATAAGTAATGCTGGTACCATTCCTCTCCAAGAGGAGAATTGGAAGATCGAGGTTTCTGACTTCCAAGAGCTAGTGGAGTCCAGAGCCTTCTTTAGGGCTGGGAAGGTAGAATTTCCTGGTCTAAAGTTTCTACTTTTTGTCCTTCCAGATGTGAATCCTGTCTCTCTGCAGTTGGACCTGGACAGGAGGTTCCAGCTTCAAGACATCATGATGGATTTTAAGGTGTGCTTCCTAAGGATGGCAGTGGATGGGAGAGGGGGACCCTGGGCCATTTGGGCTTGGGCTTATAGGAAGCACAGCGTCCTTGTCTCCCTAGGCTTAAGGTGATGGCATCATATGGTAGGTAGGTGCCACTTCCCTAGGCTGAGGTGACACTTACCCTGAATCTCTATCATGGTGACAACAGAGGCCCACTCCTGGGAGCACAGTGGCACCTCCAGGCTCCCTGTCCTGGCCTTGCAGTGGATATATATCCACTTTCTCTCTGCATCCCCCATCCTCGACCCATCTAATTAATTCAGCTCTGCCAAGTACCAATTCCGCTTGGCCCAGTCAATTATTATACAGGTGTATATTCTTGATGTGTTTAATAATTTTGCAGATGAGATTGAGTTTAATAAATGGCCAATAAGTGGCCCATATCCATGAAAGATGTGCTCTTGGAACAGCCCTGTTGGTGGACAATCTACTCACTCACTGCTATTACTTCCCAGAATACTTTTGGATTCTGCTTGTATACTAGCATCCTGAGATACTCCTTTTGGAGGGAACATTTTTGTTCATTTGTCACGAGTCATTTTTTTTTTTTCAGAGAAGATTTGATTTTATTCTTTCTACAGAAATAGTCAAATACTTAAAGATCAAGCTTGGTCAATAAGATTAGATCAGGAAGGGTGAAATCATTTTCAGAAGTTAGAATGAACCGTGAATAAGATGCAATAGGATCTAATTTCTTACTTGACTCAGAAAGTTAACTTTGAGATCCTCTCCTCAAGAAAAGGTCAAAAGTATTTTGAGAAATGGCAGCATCATCTGAATAAATGCCCAGTCTCTAAAGGTGACAGCGTTGAAGGGCAACATTCATCTGGATGGATATTGTTAGTCACATTGCTTTTTCATTACTCACTCATTCCTTTGTCCATTCTTGCCACACACATATTGAACACTGGTTATATGTTAGGTTTGGTGCCAGGTGTTAGGGATAAAAAGATGAATAAAGCTGAATCATGGTTGTCATGCTGCTTCAGTGTATGTCAGGAAGACAAAGGACCAACAGTGAGAAGATATGATGTGTACTCTGATTAGGAAGAGGTGCTGGGGAGCACAGAGTGAGGCATCCAATTTGATCTGTCTTTGGGGAGTAAGTCATAGCATGTACCCAGGAAAAGATGAATCTTTGCAGGCCACTGATAACCAGGTAAAGGGCAAAGTCCATTCTGGGCGAAAAAAACCATAAAGTGCAAAGGCCTGGAGGCAAGAGGCAAGAAGGTATGTAATTGAGGAGGGGGCAAGGGAATGCACACAAGGTCTGGAAGGGAAAATATGTATAAGGTAGTGAGAAGTAAGGATGTGGAAGGCTACCACCTGGTGAGAGACGAGTTTGCAGATGTAAATGGGGAGGGAGGAAGTAGACTAAAGATCCATCCATTCTTCATTCAACAGATGACTAAGTGCCTCCTGTGTGTTAGGTGTTGGGGGTGCAACTGTGCACAAGACAGACAAGGAGGCCTATGGTTTACTGTAGTGGTTCTCAATTAGGGGATATTTGGAGATCTGGAGACATTTTTGGTTGTCACAACCGTGGGTGTGACTATTACACATCTAGTGGTGTCTAGTGAGTAGAGGTCAGGGATGCTGCTAACCATCCTGCGGTGATCAGGATGGTCCACACAAGGAATTATCCAACTCCAAATATGGACAGTGTAAAGGCTGGGAAACCTGGGCTCCCGGAGAGGAAGAAAACTCAGGGAGCCAACAAATAAATTATTAGACATTGTGGTGATATTTATGAAGGAAACAAAGTAAATTCTGGAATGGGGTAGAGTGGGCAGGATGTGGGCAGAAGAATGCATAGGTATGAAAAATCTTGTGGGGAAGTGACATTTAAGCTGAGAACAAAAATTGAGAAGGAACCCACCAGGGGGAGGAACATTCCAGGCAGAAGAAACAACCCGAACAAAGGTCTCTGAGGAGGGAATGAACTTGGTATGACCCATGGCTTGAAGAGATGGAGGTGCACAGGGCATGAGATGAGGTGAGGAGACGGGACCCCTTCACCCTTGGTGAGGGGTTAGGATTTATTCAAGAGTAGCAGGTAGAGGACTTGAGTAGACATTTCTTCCAAGAAGATGTACAGATGGCCAGAAGGCAAATGAAAGGGTGCTCAACACCATTAATCATCAGAAAAATGCAAATCAAAACCACACTGATATATCACCTCACGCTTGTTAGAACAGCTAGTCTTAAAGGACAAGAAGCGCATGTTGGCGAAGATGTGAAGAAAAAGGAACCCTTGTGCACTGTTGGTGGGAATGTAAATTAGTGCAGCCACTAATGAAAATAATATGGAGGTTCCTCCAAAAAGTACAGATAGAACTACCATATGATCCAGCAATTCCACCAGGGTCTATATGGGAAGGAAATGAAATCAACCTTCCGAAGAGATATCTGCACCCTTATGTTCACCACAGCATTATTCACAATAGGCAAGACATGGAAACAAGCCCAGTGTCCATCAGTAGATGAATGGACAGAGAAAATGTAATCTATAGCTATATATCTATACACAGTGGGATATTCAGCTATAAAAAAGAAGGAAATCTTGCCTTTTGTGACAACATAGGTGGGCTTTGAGGGCATTCTGCTAAGTGAAATAAGTCAGACAAAGAAAGACAAACACCATGTGGTCTCCCTGATATGTGGAATCCAAAAAAGCTGAATTCAAGCAAATAGAGTAGAATGGTGGTTGCCAGGGGTTTGGGGGTGGGGGAAATGGGGAGGTACTGGTCAAAGGGTGCAAACTTCCAGCTGCAAGATGAGTAAATTCTGGAAATCTAATATACAGCCTGGTAACTATACTTAACAACACTGTTATATACCTGAAAGTGGTTAAGAGTCTAAATCTTAACTTTTATCACCACACACACAAGATGGTAATTATGTGAGGGGCTGGATGTGTTAATTACTGCAGTAATCATTTTGCAATTTGTGCATGCGTCAAAAATCATCATGTTGGACACCTTAAACTTACATATATTAGAGGTCAATAGGATCTCAATAAGCTGGAAAAAAATAGTGGGAAGCTATTCTAGGGTTTTTGGCAGAGGAATGACACAGTCCATTTTATGTTTTAAAAAGGACATTCTGTCTGTAGGTGGAGGGCCTAACTGAGGTGAGAGTGAACAAGGAAATCAGGTGGCGCCTACTTGGGAGATCAGGGGGCTGTGCGCTGCCACAGGAGACAGGGCCTGATGTGGGTCTGTTTGGAGGAAACGGTCCAAGCTGGGAGCCGTCAGCACGAAGACCGCATTGAAAGCCACGAGAAGTGGGTGAAACCACCGAGGGTGGAAGGACACAACGTGTCATGCTGAGAGGCTTGCATTTCATCTCTAGCTAATGCACATCCACTGAGGGGCCTGGAGCAGGAGTGACATGGTCAAGTAGTCATCTAGAAAGACCTCTCCAGTGACGTGGGGAGAGAGGTTTGGAGGGCCCGGACAGCTGACTGTGGGAAGTACCGTGGGAGAATGTTCTGGCCTGGCCACCTGCATGGTGCGCTGAACTAGGATCATAATCATGCCTTCTGGAATGTAGATCACCGTTCTCCTGCTTTCCACAGTCCCCCTGGGGAAAACCCGATGGGGCTCTCCAGTGTTGGCCAGGGTGTCTGCCGTCGGACCTGGATGCCCTGAAGCCCACCCGCTCCCTCTCGCCCCGTTCTCCTTCCCTCGCTGTGATTCTCAGGGACCACCAGTGCATCTTTAGGAGGCTTTTTGGTGATGATGTCTCTGCAGTGGCCCCTTCTCTTCACTCAGGCCCCCACCCTGTCTGTGCCTCTGCAGGGGCCCTTGCCCGCCGGGATGCTGATTGAGCGGTCCGCAGACTTCGGCAACACCTGGCAGGTGTACCAGTACCTGGCTGCTGACTGCGCCTCCGTCTTCCCCCGGGTCCGTCAGGGCCAGCCTCAGAGCTGGCAGGATGTTCGGTGCCAGTCCTTGCCCCAGAGGCCTAACGGGCATCTGGACGGGGGGAAGGTAGGTAGGGGGGACTTGGAAAAATAGGCACGGGTTGGTGGGGGAGGGGAGGTCCCTGACATCACATTTGCTCACACGGTCACCCAGCCTCTGGAGAAGACGTCAGTGCACCTTGCTGTTTTTCCTGCTCCCTCCAATAATGACCTCTCTGGCCGCTTTCAGAATATTTGCTGTTTGTCCCCTTTGCTACTCAGGAGGAATATTTTAACACCACATCTAGGGCCCTGCATAATCCAACCGTGCCCTCTTCCCCTCTTCCATAGCCACCGCTCCATCTCGTTGGCACAGTCCCCACGGTGGAGAGGGTAAAATTGACTCTGCTTCAGTGCAAGGACTTTGAGATGGTTGTTAGATTCACGTGAGCAAAGTACACACATTTAATTTGATCTCTGGTTTCACCTTGGTAAAGTTTAACACCAGAATGAGCTTTCTCAGTTTAATCCCTCTGCCTCTCCCTTGGGGAAATTCAGGTAGAAGCTGGGGCTCTGTGTCACCAGAATTTAACCCTGAGCTGGAACGGAGAAACTGCTTCTAGAAACAGCTCAGAACTTTCTCCCCAACTGGACTCCTCTCACCTGGGGTCAGATTCTCGCATTTCTTTCGTGACTGCCTTTCCTCTCACCACCCAGCAGCTGCCGCTGGAGGGCTGCTGTGTTCTCTGTCCTTCCTTCTCTGGTTCAGGCTCCAGCAGCCTTCAGAGCTGTTCTCCTGGGCACCCAGTGCTCAGAGTGCTGCCCTCCCTGTCGGCGGTGCCTTGTTCCTTCCCTGGAGCAAGTCCTCCTGGGTTACAGCAGACCCCATCTGCTTGTTAACCACACTCCGGAGACTCCAGATCCGAACACAGGGCTTTTTCCTGATTCGTGGAAGGTTGATATGAAAACTCTGGAATATGCAGATGAATTCCCATACAATGAATGGGGTTTTTTGTTTTTTTTGTTTTTGTTTTGTCTTGTTTTGTTTTTTTTAGACACACACACACACACACACACGTGGATGAGCAGGGGAGGGGCAGAGGGTGGGAGAGAACCTTAAGAAGGCTCAACGATCAACGTGGAGCCCGATGCAGGGCTTGATCTCACAAACCTCAACATCATGACCTGAGGTGAAATCGAATGTGACACTCAACCCAGGTGACCCTGAATGGTTTTTATTAAAGAGGAAAAGCATAGTTAAAATTGGGGTTGTCTAGAGTGCGGTTACCACATCCATGAATCCTTGGGCCCTGGACCTTCTCATTCATCCTAGGTGTCTGGAAAATTAATATTCCCTAAACCCTCATGTGCACATTGTATATCTCACCATTATTTTTGACCCAAGGAAATCAGGAAATTCTTGGGATATCTGTATTTTTAAATGGAGAGGTGTGGTTGTCTACACACACACACATTTAGGGCCCAGTGGCCATCTGGCTCCCTCAGTGCAGCTGGCAGCCCTCACATCCATGGTCTACTCAGGTTCGAGGTGAGAAGGGCCTCAGAGAAGTCTGATGAGGGTGCAACATTGGTGGAAAGGGGCGTTGGGGGCACCCCATTTACCTCTTCCACAGGCCTTCCCTTTCCGTCTCTCTGTAGGTTCAACTTAACATCATGGATTTAGCATCTGGGATTCCAGCAACTCAAAGTCAAAAAATTCAAGGTCAGTGTGGTAACTTCTCCCCACTGCGGGTGGGGAACAAAACTTGGAACTTGGGACTTGCCATGGTTGGTTGGTTGGAACTTGGGACATAGAAATTGCCTGGTCTTTCCTATTTCTGTCAATATGGTTGGATTTAATACTCACCCTGCTTATTCCATCAGGCTCTGTGGTAGACTCAGGAGGCCTGGGTTGGAGTGCAGGGGTCTTTCCTGCTGGGGAGGGTTGAGGGCTGAGGAGGATGGCCCCTCATATAACCAACCTTATGGAGGCAGGGAAGACCAGATGGTGAGATCAGAATTTCTCTCCTTATCTGTCCTGCCCTAGGAGACTATTTGCCTCTAACTTCCTTTCTTCATTTTCCCTTCCCCAATC